TTCTACGTTAGAAAACTTTGCCAACATAATTCATAACATTATCAGATTGAAAGGAAAACTATACTAAATGTCGTTTTTATTAAAAGGGAACCTCTTGACAAACAAGAAATACAGGAAACCTTCCTTGATCTGATAAAGAGCATCGACCACCATCTAACAGTAAAAATCATATTAAGTATTAGAAGCATTCTTATTAAAATTATTAAAAGGTTAGAAATGTCTCTTCTTTCTACTAAAAATATTCAACATTGACTGGATGTTCTATCAAACACAATAAAATAGAAATACAAATTTACAAATACTGGTAAAGGAAAAGACAGAAATTTAATTATTCGAAGACAGGATGTTCATATACATTCAGCAAGGTAGTCATATATAAGATCAACTTTTAAAAATCAGAAGTAGGACATCTGCTTACTGACATAAAGGAACATAGGTTCTGGAGTTAATCTCCTGATGAAAGCACTTAGAAAACCAGACAAAACATAAGAAACAACTATTTATTTTCAGACATTGGGTAACAGACAGCGCTGTTATAAATGAGAAAAGGGAAACGAAGTAAACCTCATCATTGCCCAGGCTTTCTGCATAAGACCAATTTCGAGGCTGCGGTGGCGAGAAACCAAAGGCCAGCAAACTTGCTGAGTTGAGGAGAAAAGGATTTGAGGAAGCCAAGGCAGCTACGATTTTGAGAGCAGAGTAAGTGAGAGAGGGAATGACAAAAAGAAAATTCCAGATATTTGCATCCAGGTCTCCCTGTATCTTTGGTTGAATATCAAGGAGTACAGGTATAGAATAAATCCCCACAGGCTAGACATCATAACTACAGAAGAGGAAAAGTAAGATAGTAATTTCTAGAGCTCGCAGAAGTCTGGAGAAAACTTTGAGTTTCCACCAGCTGGAGTGGAGATACCTTTTCAAATACAAAGGGCATTCAGTAGAGACTCAGAAGGGGCACACCTTCGAAAAGGACTAAATCGGCCCTACAGTAAAACTACTCTAGAAAATCCCTAAAAGATCTTAAAAACAAGCCTCAGAAGGATCAACTAATTCACAAATAATTTAAAACTGTCATCTAGGACAAAGTCCAACACTCTGAAGGAAAACAACAAAATCCAGAATTTAACAATGTAAAACCTACCAAGTCCAGCATGTGATCACTAGACATATGAAGAGTTGGGATTATGCAGCCCATACCAGGGGGGAAAAATCAGTCAATACAAATAGACCTGCAAATGATAGCAATGATGGAAATGGCAGATCAGTTATGTTAAAGCAGTTGTTATAAATATGTTCCATATGGTTAAGAATTTAAAGGAAAATGTGAACATAAAGAAGAAAAAAAATGGAAGATAGAATGAAGAATCAATAGAACTTTTGGAATAAAAGATGTAATAGCTCAATGAAACAACCTAAGTGTCAACAGGTGAATGGATAAAGAAGACATGGTACATAAAGAAGATGTGAGATTATATATATATATATACACTAGGTATTATTATATAT